CAATTAGTTAAACTGAAGGAACGTTTTAAAGACATAAAGACCTGGATTACCTCTAATTTTCTGCTTCTAAATTCAGACAAAACTGTGGTTAATGTACTCGGCCCAAAAAATCAGAGACAGATTCTTACTCTGGATGGCATTAACATGGTCTCCAGTAACACTGTGAGGAATCATTTTTGACCAGGATATGTCCTTCAATGCACATATTAAAAAAATATCTACCACTGCTTTCTTCCATTTGTGGAATAGAATAGTTAGAAACATCCTGTCTCAGAGTGATGCTGAAAAACTAGTTCATGCCTTTATTACTTCTAAGCTGGACTACTGTAATTCGTTATTATCAGGATGTCCTAAAAACTTCCTGAAAAGCCTTCGGCTGATCCAAAATGCTGTGGAAAAAGTGCTGTCAGGAACTAGAAAGAGAGAGCATATTTCTCCTATACCGGACTCTCTTCGTTGGATCCCTGTTAAATCCAGAATCAAATTTAAAATCCTGCTCCTCAAATACAAGGTCTTGAATAATCAAGCCCCATCTTATCTTAATGACCTTATAGTGCCATATCACCCCATTAGAGCTTGCTGCTCTCAGACAGCAGGCTTACTTTTAGGCCCCGCTTCTGTGGACCCAGGCTCTGTTCTCTTTGTATTATTGTCTTTATCTAACCATATAAAGTGCCTTGAGGCAACTGTTGTTATGATTTGCTGCTATATAATTAAAACTGAATTGAATTATGAACCCAAAAAAGTATCATCAGATTTTTATCCACCTCACAATATCAACTAAAAAATATCTGATTGGCAATGGCTTCATTTTTCAGCATGGTAATAATCCCAAACACACTGCCAAAGCCGTTAAAGCATACTTGGATAGAAAAAACACACTCTCAGTCGTGGATTGGGCTCGCCAGAACCCGGACCTCAAAACTATTAAAGCAGTGTGGGACCATCTTGACAGAGAACGGAACAAAAGGCAGCAAACATCCAAATAAGACCTTTGAATGAAGCCTGGAGAACTATTCCTGAAGACTACTTAAAAACACACCAAGAAAGCTGCCAAAGAGTTCAGACTGTGTTGAAGAATAAAGATCCTTATAGCAAATACTGACTTTCTAACTTGTTACAATTAAACAGTTTTTGCCTAATTTACTGTATTTCCATGTATGTTTGCATGTTTCAATAAATCACTGCACATATTTCCTATTTTATTAGCAAAATATAAAGAAACAAGGAGTGACTCAAGAGTTTTGCACAGTACTGTATAGTTTAATAAATACATGTAAAAGCCATATGAAAAAGGGTAGTTTTTCATTTAAAATAGCTACAGTTGAGGCACCTCTAAGTTTCAAAGAGATTATAGAAGTTTTGTTTTAGCTCTGTGCAGCACTAAGTGACCTGCAGGCCTGACATTTGTACTCAGTGAACTTATCTCTAATATATTTGGGTTCCGCAGTACTGGTGGACTTATAAATGATAAATAATTATATTATAAATACAGAATTATAAACACTTATATTTATCTGTAGGTCAATGCAAGGATGTAATAATAATAATAATAATAATAATAATAATAATAA